GCCGCACTGGTGTGGTGCCACCTTGAGTACTGTGTGCTGTTTTGGGCGCCTCGATATAAGAAGGACATCAAACTACTGTAGTGTGTCCAGAGGAGGGGTGACCAAGATAGTGAAATGCCTTGAGGGCTAGATTTATGAGGAGTGGCTGAGGTCACTTGGCTTGTTCAGCTGGGACAAGAGAAGGCTGAGGGGTGACCTCATCGCAGTCTACACCTTCCTCAAGGGGGGCTGTGGAGGGGAAGGTGCTGATCTCCTCTCTCTGGTGCCCAGGGATAGGATGAGGTCATGGAATGAAGCTGCGTCAGGGGAGGTTCAGATTGGACATTAGGAAAAGGCTCTTCACTGAGAGGGTGGTTGGTCGTGGGAACAGGCTCCCCAGGGAAGTGGTTATGGCACCAAGCCTGCCAGAGTTCAAGGAGCGTCTGGATGATGCTCTCAGTCATATGGTTTAGTTTTAGGTAGTCCTGTGTGGAGCAGGGAGTTGGACTCAATGGTCCTCGTGGGTGGTCCCTTCCAAGTTGAGATAGTCTATGATTGACCAGTGGAGCATGGGCTCTGCTGGAGTTTCTGGGTGAACCACCTGTGGGAGGAGGTGAGCAGACTGTGCAGCACCAGGGAGGACAAATGGGAGATTAACTGGTTATTTGCTGAGATGCTGTAGTGCAACAGCCCAAGCCCCACACTATCCAAGATGATAAAGTTAAATTCCCTTGCCAGGGGCAGTGTTGAAGATGGAAGTTTTTTCTTACTTTCAGCAGCAAAAAGCCTCCCTCTGCATGCAGACATTTGGGTGGAGAACAAGTACAGGGCTCTGGCAACACAAGAGGAGCAGTCAGTTCTGACAGACTGGCAAGTGTTGGACTGGTTGTGCCTGGTCTATGGGTATGACCCAGTGCCACCAAGAGGAAGCAGCTGGTGGTAATGGCTGGAGACTTCCTTCAATGAAGGATTGAGGTACCTATCCACTGAGCAGACTTGCTGTCCTGGGAAGCTTGTTGCTTGTGGGGAGACTGGATCCAGGATGTTATGGAGAAGTCGGTAGAGTTCTTCTGGTCTGTGGACTAGTACCTATTGCCACTCATGCATGTGGGCACCTGTAGGATCATAGGATAATCTGGTTGGAAGAGACCTCAGGAGCTCTCTAGTCCAACTTTCCCCTCAAAGCAGGCTCAGCTTGAGGTTAGACCACATTGCTTGGTGCTCAATCCAGTCAGGTCTTGATGAAAACCTCCAAGGGTGGAAATAGCACAGCCTGTTCTATTTCTCAACTGTCCTCATCATGAAGATGTTATTCATTATACTCACTTGGCACCTCTTGTTTCAGTTTTTGCCTAGTGTCATCCTTTCATTAGATGCCAGGGTGAAGAGTCTGGCTCCATTTTTTTAACCTTCTCATAGGTACTGGAAGTCTGTTATGGTGTCTTATCCTCAGCCTTTTTTTCTTTCAGCTTTCTTCAATCTCTAGGCTGAAGAAGTCCTCTATCTCATAACTTTGTCTTCCAGGGGAGGTAGTCTAGTCCCCTGAGCATCTTGGGGGCCCACTGCTAATATCCTCCCCACCCTCCGATTCATCAGCATCGTCCCTATATTGGAAGTGGAATAAGATCTCCCAAAGGAGACCTCGAGCAGATAAAAAGTTAATGCCAGGCCTTGGAAGCAAGTTTTAGAGGCTTTGGGAGTTCAGGTGGTCTCCTAGATCCTGCTGGTGAATGGGAAAGGCTTAGGCAGGAGGCAGATGTTGTCTGAGCATGAGCTTCTGCCTGCACAGTTAGCATTTATAGACATGGTGGGTTTTTTATGACCATGGGACTCTAAGGAATGAGGACTGATGGCAAAATATGGGATCCATCTGATAAAGATGGGCAAAAGCATCTTTGGGAGCATGGTTGCTAACAGTGTGGAGGGCTTTAAACTAGGTTTGTTGTGGGATGGAGACTGAAAACCAGCAGAGAAGTATAGGGTGAAGAGAGGCACTTGGGTTTCTGTGACAAGGGAACCTCTTCCACTTCTCCAGAGAAACTCTTGTACCTCCCCAGCACACCTGTGGGATAGCCTGAAATACTTGTATGTAAATGTGTTCCGCGTGGGACATCAGGAGTTGGAGGTCTGTGTGCAGTTTTGATACTAATAGCTTAGTTCCCTCTTGATCAGCTCTTGTTATGTGCAGAGCCCTCAATGTTGGTGAGATTAAACTCACGGAGGGATGGATGATTGGAGTGCTTTAGGTGGAAGGAAAGACATGGAAGATGAAGAAAGGTTTGCCTTCTGTGCTAAAGAACAGCTTTAGGAATGTGCAGAGCTGTGCTGTATAACTGCTGATGACTCAACTGGGAGATTACCAGTTGAGTTCAGAGGGGAGGGTGACAAAGGGAACATCATGGTGGGTGTTTGCTGCAGACCAGCTGATCAAGAAGAGCAAGTGGATTAACCCTCTTCAGACAACTGGAAAAAGCCTTATGAATGGGAAGTTGGTTCTGACTCTGCCCTGGCATCTGCTGGAAGCACAAGGTGATATAGGGCACAACCAATCTAGGAGATTTGTGGAATTGCTTGAGGACAACTTTTTGAGCCAGGTGCTGGACAAAGTGGCTAGAGGAGATCTAGCAGGGTGAAGAGAGCTGACTGGCAGTATGAACAGTGGTGCACAGTGGCACCTTTGGTTTCCATGACCGTGAAATGAGAGTTTAAGATCCTCTGGGAAATGAAGAAAGCGAGTAGAAGCGTAAAAATGCCTGGCTTTGGCTTGTTCAGAGAACTGATTCATGGGATCCTAGAGGAATCTCTCCTGTAGAGCAGAGAAACCCAGGAGAGCTGGTTGATCTTCAAAGCAACCTCCTCAGAGCACTGGAGTGGTTCCATTGCGATTTGAAGGAAGCCAAGCAGGTGTGGCAGGAGGCCAGACTGATTGTCTTGCTGAGCTCAACTACAGGAAAAAGTCCTGTGTAAGGAAGATGTGGGGACAGGTTACCTGGGAGAAATACGTAGAAGCATCCTGTGGGCATGCAAGGATGTAATTAGAAAAGCTTTTATTTCTTTCTGCTCTTAATGATATTCTCTGGTCAAACACGGTATTAGCTTGCATTGTGGTTGTGCCTAGTGAAAAATTAATGAAATGTGCTGTTGCCGCTCTCGGTATGAGCGAGATGGGACTTGTCAAGAGCCTGTCTATGTAGTGAAAGTGAAGAGAAAAAACACAGTGCCCAAGGAGAAAAATGCACACTTGTATTTTTTTGTGTGAGAAATGGCAAATGCCCTAAAGTTCCTTCCTTAAGGAATCATAGCACTATTTTATTTTTCTTCAAATTTGTTTTGCTAGCCGCAATGAAAAAGTTGACACCACAGATGGAAATCGAGATAACCTTAACTCTTCTTGCTCTCTGTGGGCTTTCAGCACACTGTGCAGAACAAGCTTTCAGGTTTTGTTCCAAGTTAATGGTATAAAAGTATACTGACTCTTTGGCAGTGCTGAGTGGACATGAATTAGGAGCTGATATAAATCTGAAAACTGCAGTGGTCTGACTTAAATCACTCTTCAACCACCTTAATTTTCTACCCTTTTGCTATGGGCATTCTTGGTTACAATACAGCCAGCAATGAAGTGGAATGAGTCACTGAGGCTGATACTAGAGTGAGTGTAAGCAAATCCCACTTAAATCTGTTTTAAACTCACTTTTTTCTACATGTGCTACTCTGCTGTTCAAGAAGTCACTAAAGCTGAAATGCTGTGCTGCTGTTCAGTGCTATGCTTCAGAGTATGCTTCATTGCAGCCAGCCAGCCTTGGCAAAAGACACATACCAGGTTTGGAAATAGCTAAGTTACCGTGAAAGTCAGGCTTTAACATAACCTAACAAGAGATTTAACATGATGAGAACATCAGCTAGGGTTTCCAAAGCTAAAGATGGTGCTAAACGTAGGTCTTTTGTTTCTCTAAGCAGACAGGTGCTGCAGTTCAGCAAGGTCTTTTCAGAGTTCTCACCAAAGAGAGCTAAATCTGCAGCTGTAAGGATAACTTAAAATGTTCTGGAGGGAATAAGGTGCAAGGGTTTAGAAGCCTTGTATTCTGCACAGCTGTTGAATGGAGGAAATTAAAACTGGTAATTTCTTTCTGCGAAGTCACTTGTAGGTTTTAATACTTAACATACTGATGGTTTGTTTTCTGGTTAAAGACATAAGTCAGAAAGCAAGGGCTGATGTGCTGGGCATGGGTCAAAAGCAGATGATTAAGAAGGAAACAAGGCATTTCCTGCCCATCCCCCCAGCACAAATATTGCTTAAAATATCCAAATGACGTGCAGTAACTGGCGTTTTCCTTCAGAAGTCTTAAGCATCCCTCTGTCTGCTGTTGTGAATTATACTTCTGCATTTTAGACCTCTTGAAAGGGAGGTGAGTGATGCTTAGGCACTGGTGTGTGCTTCATGCGGGCTGGGGAAGGGGCGGATGTATATTGGACAATTTAATGTAGGAAGCATTTTTGTAGACCATATTTATGACCTTTAAGCCTGAACTGTGCGCAGATTTTCAAAGAACCCTAAGAGTGTTAAATCCAAAATTTCCTTAAACTTTTTTTATACTTATGACCAAACCGATCAGTAGGTTTTTTTCAACTTTGCAAAGCTTAAGGATTTGGGTTTTGGAAGTTGTGTATCTGAGGTACCATGACAGTTCCTGAAGCATTCCCAAGTGAAGCCGATGGTTGTGAAGCCACCCTGTTACTGTGGAGCATTTAATTCTCCAAGAAGTGTTATCTAGGGGCAGCGCATTTGAAATAAAATTTGGGAATTGCACTAAAACAAGTCCTTTAGCCAGTCTTCTGGAGTCTCTTTGCTCCTTATATCCTTCAGATGGAAGGGGTGGTAATGAGATATGGGGAGGCTGATAGTTCTTCCTTGGTCATATCCTTGGAGAAGTCCAAACTGTTATATGTAGTTTTCTGTGCAGTCAAACATTAAAGTGAAAATGCAAATGAGTAACTTCTCTCAATCTGCTTTTGCTTGCCAGGTCCTGGAGAAATATCCAAATACACCTATGAGCCATAAAGAGATCCTTCAAGTTATCCAGAAAGAAGGACTTAAAGAAATCAGGTGAGTTAAGTACCCATACTGTTAAAATACATTCATACTTCAGTTCCAACTTAGTTTATTTTACTGTTAACTTCTATCTCATAAGTATTTTGGGGACTGAAATGTTAAATACCTGCAGAATTGGAGTCTAGGTCCCATTTGCAAATAGGCTTTCAAGTCACTGGCACTTTTCACCTAGAAAGCTAGATAAGGGTCATACTTAAATTTCCAGGTGTTGTGGTTTAACCCCAGCTGGCAACAAGTGCCACACAGCCGCTTGCTCACCTCCCTCACAGTGGGATGGGGGAGAGAATCAGAAGGGTAAAAGTGAGAAAACTCATTGGCTGAGATAAAGACAGTTTAATAGGTAAAGCAAAAGCCACATGCACAAGCAAAGCAAAACAAGGAGTTCATTCACCACTTCTTATCATCAGGCAGGTGTTCAGCCATCTCCAGGAAAGCAGGATTCCATCATGTGTAATGGTGACTTGGGAAGACAAACTCCATCACTCCAAATGTCCCCCCCTTCCTTTTTTTTTCCCCAGCTTTATATGCTGAGCATGACATCCTATGGTCTGGAATATCCCTTGGGTCAGCTGGGGTCAGCTGTCCTGGCTGTGTCCCCTCCCAACTTCTTGTGCCCCCCCAGCCTGCTCACTGGTGAGGTGGGGTGAGAAGCAGAAAAGACCTTGATTCTGTGTAAGCACTGCTCAGCAGTAACAAAAACATACCTGAATTATCAACACTGTTTTCAGCACAAACATAGCCCCATACTAGCTACTATGAAGAAAATTAATTCTATTCCAGCCCAAACCAGCATGCCAGGTATGCATGATTCTGGTCTGCAGCTCATATAAGATAAACTAGACCTGATCAGGTAGTTCAGACTCCAGATACTGAAGTAAACTTAACTATTTATTTCATCTTAAAAAAAAAAAAAAAAAAAGTCAGTTTAATTGAAATTACTTAGAACTTAAAGGTATCCAGGGAGTAAAAAAGCAGCCTCACTTACAAATCCTTATTTAGAAAACTTTATTCCTCATGCTGTTTTCTTTAGTACTATCTGGAGTAGTGTGTGGTTCTGCTTTAGAGATCTTCCTGTTCCCCATAAGGAGCAGACTGAGGTTTTGGTGTGCTGGGGAAAGGAGGGTGCCAACCCAGGTGACACTGATATGCTTTAGAAACAGAGCAACTCAGATGACAACTCTTGAACTGCTGTTACCATAGCTTAATTCTTGAGTCCTTGCTCATATATATTTCCCAGAGATGGGCAGGTGTATTTGCTGAGATAGGGAACAATTGTCCATATGAAGTACAGTGTTCATACTTCTGTTCTCTAAGAGCAAAGAAAAAGGGAGGGGAAAAAGGGGATTAGATGTGCCAGTTCATCTATTTTGGAATTAAATAGCCATCCTGAATTTGACTTAAGTTTTCCACTCCACTTTGCCAGTTTAATACAGCAATCCATCTGCTTTGCAGGAAATAATCAAGGGGCCAAGTGTAGAAATTCTGCTATCGATAACATCTTCCACTCAAGTTGTGGACAACACAAAGGTGGTTTGCTTTTTGGAAATGTGAGCTTATCTAAAAATAAGGGAACCAGATATACTCATTTAGCTCTTAAAGAGGTAACAAAAGTGCGGTTTATTTCCTGCCCTGACTATGCACTTTGCTTTGGGGCAGTACTACATTCAGTCAGATCAAAGGTTTATCAGCTTGAGGGCAGCTTCAGTATTGTGTTAAATACTGTTAATCCATCAAAGGCGTATTCACGAACAGTAATGGCACTTGTCAGCCCCTTGTGCCCACCCAAGGATAGAAATGCAGTTATCTGTACTGGTGGTCTTGCTGATGGCAAAGCACAGTCCAGCAAATATCCAGGCAGTTAGGTGTGGTGAATGTTTTTAGCAATTCCAGAGTGCTCTTTTTGGGTCAGAGCCTTAGGCAGGAGCTCAGATGTGGTGTGAAAGATCCAGTCTCTGGATGGCCAGGCCAGATTTTGGACAGAACAGCAAAAAAAAGCAGAACAGAAATGCCATGGTGCCATATAATCCTTCTCAACCTCAAGTCCTCCTTTTAGTCGATTTGGGGATTTAGCCTGAGCTGCTAGTAAGTTGTTTTCCTCTCTAAAAGAGCTGTTGCTGAGCATCAGGACAGTGCAAACTCTTGAGTATCTTAAATTCTGAAAGATGTTTGTGGGAGCAGTGAGATGTGAAACTGAATTTCTCTTGTTCAACTATCCACCTTACTGACTTAGCCATGCTTGGATGCTATGTATGTTTTTCCCCTTACATGTTAGATTGATGTAATAAAGCTTTATTTAGGTTAAGATCTAAAAGGCTGTCAGTTCTTAAGCAATTCAGTTCCAGTTAGTGCCAGTAATGTGTTTGTGGCTGGATTGGGCTTCTGATAAGTCATAGCCTGTGACAAGATGGGCTTAACACAAATCAGCATTTATTAGAGGAAAAATCATGTTAGAGAAGGTATAAAAGCTGTAAGATGAGCATGTTGAGCTCAACCAGATTTTGAGTACTCTCATGTGGAGGTTCCAGTAGGAAACCATGGCAAAGCCTTTGACAGCAGGTTATAGTAATTTGCCTGTGCTTGGTTGCCTTGAGATAGGCAGCTGCAAGAGTCTGGCAAAATGGTGTATAAGTTTGCAGGCAGGACATGGGCTCTCCTGTTAGCACATGTGTCAACGCATTTGAGTTTTTTGAATTCTTTCTCAATGCAATTTGCTCTTAATAAACAGAATTGCAAATTTCTTTGGTAGTAAATTATTTCCACAAACCACATAATCTTTAAACTCTGTCAGTTTTGACTGCAGTGTGTGTTGGTTGGTTTTTTTTTTTAATTCAGCATCTATTGCTTCAAATCCTTGATATATCTCACTTTTTAAAATCACTGAGTTCCAGAAAGAATATAGTTTTAGAAGTGACAAATGACCTGAAAGGAGACAGAGAGAACAGGGAGCCCAGCTAGTGTCCAGCATCATTTTTCTGTTTGGCCACGCAGCCAGTCCATCTCCCTTTTGTGCTAATGATTCCTGGCATGTGCTGCCCCTTGGCTGGCTGCTTGGGAGGAAGCTTGAGGGCATATTGGAAGAGTTTAGAGGACTCAAAAGTGCTGGTACTGTTGCAGAGGATTTGGAATTGCAGGGAAGAAGGGTGACAGTTGAGTGTGGAAAAAACAGGAGCAGAGACTTCTGCTATGTGCAGGACAATTTGACTATTTTTTGGACAAGGCTAGGTCTTTCATAAGATGGAGGGGGTTTTGTAGCAATACAGAAACCTGTGGTGATACTGGCTGATCATCTTACCTGTATTTATAATTTTATCCTAGTACTCAAGTAATTTTAATCGTGAGATTCTTAAAGGTCAACCCAGGATCTCTCTGACTCTGAGGTGTCAGTTTTGGAGACCTACAGCATCCTGAAGCTAGAACTACACTTTTCATGTGATCTGTCATCCTAATTTTCTTGATTTGCCTGTTTTGACAGGCTGTGCTAATCCTATGAGATCCTTTCCTACCTACAGGTCACTGCTTGCAAACTGTGAAAATAAAATACACGGGGATAAACACTCGATGCATTGGCAGCATAACCATATCTGGCTCTAAGATTTGTCCAGCGTCTTATATTGTCTTATCTCTGTTGGCAATGTAGCTTGGGGAAGCCTGAGCATGTTGTAACACTTATACTTTCAAATGAGGCTTTGAAGTTGCATGGGATAATGGTGTTAAGCCAAGCAACACCAGCTGTGAAAGTTCCCTAAACTTGAATGCATGGGATAGATGGGCACTGAGGGTTAGCAACAGAGAATCACATTTGTTTGATGATAAGTAGCTTTTTAAATCAAAATTGTTAACTTGTCATTGGATTTCCATTAATCTCCTTGGGTATGTTAAAACCAGTGTAAGAGTATCTGAAGAGTTAACATCTTTGAAAGATATCTTTGGTGGCCTTTTCTCATAATAGCCATGAATGTGTTGTTTTTCTTGGATTTTATAGGGGACACTGTATAAAATAGTAGCTTGTGGACCTCTGTCCAAACACACTGTCTTTTTTGCCCAAGTACTAATTAAGCAAGGAAATACATCTAAACACTAGCTCAATCTTGGTAAAAATGAAAACAGACATGGTATTCTGGCTACTTTTATTTCAAGTATTCATGGAATTTCTAACATAAACCAAAACAAACTCTTAAACCACTTTAGGAGGAAAAAAAAAAAGTGTAGAAGCCAAAGTCCCCTTTTCACTAGTCATATTTGGACTAGAGATAAGTGTGTCATGAAGAGTTTGGTTTCAAGTTTTAGCTGCCCTCCAGGCAGTGGCTAATTTATGCTTCTCATTGGCAAGTTGGTCCTTCCAAATTCCTTGCAAGATGCTCTGAGCATCCAAGTCAGAGCATCCTTGAGGAGGGGACTTGGTTCCAGGGGGGATAGTTATGTGAAGAGGGCTGGAGCTGCGCAGTCTGGTGCTTGTATAAATGATGTGCCAGCACTGTAACCTGAGGCTTCCGTAAGGTTTCTTAACTGGTTTCCTGTTATTTCTTCTCTCTTGCTAGCTGAAAATCAGAAGCCTGCTGTATTTCTGTGGTTAGCTTGTCCTCTGTGAGCCTGATAATGTGAACAGTCTGTCTTCCTGAGTGATGAGGAAAACTACAGTGATAGTGACTGCCCTTGCCTGGAAAGAAAACATGGGGCTTTTAGCTTCTGTGTAGTTCAGAGCAGTGTCACGTTTGTATTACTCCTTTGTATTACTGCTCTAGTGCTATGAAATAAGGATCTTGCCTGAGTGGGAAAAAAAACTCTATACTTGGTCACTCTCTTGCAAGAGGAGCGAGGATGAACTTAAAAGACCACCAGCTCCCTCATTGACTTCTCAGAAATATGAGCAAAGGTCAGGCTGGAGTCTGGACTTAGGTGATAAATGTAGGAAGAGGGAAGCTGTTTACTGCTAGAGGATATTCTTGCATCTCAGATCGAGTTAAGGACCAACAAAGTGATTTCTCCTTTTTCTTGGCAGAAGGCTTTGCCACTAACGTATTTCCTAGTCGTTCTTCAGTACTTTGATTTCCTCATCTTCTGCTGTAGAGCTAGGAAATAAGATGCAGTTGCATGCTCCTCCATGCCTTGATTCTCAGGGCGGTTGTTCCTTCAACAGCTTGATGCTAGGAAATTCTCCCTCCAGCATAATTTCCCTCCAAAAAATTAACTAACCCAACACCCCCCACAGGGTAAGGGTGGAAGGGGGCCTTTTAAAAGGAAGTAGCGTTCTTAAATTATTTTGAAAAGGATGAAGTTGGTATTGGATCCCACTGACACTGGGTGTGAAGATAGATTATCTCTTACAAAGAGTTTCCTCTCCCTATTAAAAGCTGCCCCTATCAAAACTGTTAGACTTTCCTCTTTGTAAAAGCTGCTCTTTAAAGCCATGATGAGCCTACAATAAAAGGCTCTCCCAGGCAAAAAAACCTCATCTAGGTGAAGAAATTAAATTGATAACCAGTGAAAAATATATTTCTCATTTCTCTATCTTAAAAAATATTAGGAAAATGTGAAAACTGAAACTGCCCAACAATGGAAGAGACATGCATCCTGTGTCTGACAGAGCAGGCAAGCCTCTTATTCTTGCTGCTGGCTAGCTGTGTTGCATGTGGAGTCTGAGCCATGTTCTTCCCCCTGCCTGGCAGGGCAGCTGTACAAAACCCATGAAGATTTACTGCTCTGAGTCTACTGTGAGACTGCAAATCTTGGATTTGAGTCCACTTATATAGCTTTACCTCCCGAAAAGCAGATCTTCTGATAACTCACGTCCTCTGTAGATTCTCCAGTTAAGTGTTTTCACAAGTCCAGAGGATAGTAAGTGTAGACTGAATCCTTCAGCAAATTCCTTAACGGCTCTGGACATCTTCACTTGCTTTCAAGAAATGAAGAATTTTCATCAGCTCAGTCTGATTCTGGTCATGACCTTATAGCTGAGGAACATATATAGGCCACTGTCCTTCTTTTAGACACATTTGACTAATATACAGAATTATCTTGGTAGAATATTTGATAGTCCATTTGATAACTTCTTGTGGAATAAGTATGTCCAGAATTTTGCCCTCATCCTTGATGTCTATAGTCAAAATGCTAAAGAAACAACTTCTTGCTATGCAGTCTGCTTGCTGTCTCCTTTTAATTAATATCTGCACATTGGCAACTTGAAATTGTCTCTACATTGAATCTCATACAGTCAATCTCATATTTTTACTGAAGAGCTAACTGTTACACAGAGCTCAAATTTTGATGAAGGGAATCTGCATGGGTCAGAGCAACCTTCATGGTATTGCTCTTAAAATGGCTTCAGGCCACTTGACATGCTGATGAGCTCATCTTTAGTGTTTCCCCTCTGATCATCTGACCCGTTGGCTGAAAACTACCTAGTCAGGCGGGACGGAAGAGGGGAAGGGTCTTGAGGTAGTGATGGGACCTGCTGCAGGCTTGTGTTTTCAGCTTGCTTGTGCTGCCTCCTGATTCCTTGTGACAGCAGGAAGCTGGGAAACTGGAAAGTAATGTGCCAAAGCGAGAAAGCCAATTTGAAGCTCATTTTCCTGCCACTGCTGTATAGGGAGCCTGGCGGGAGTAGGGTAGAAGAGGTAGGAACAGCTGGGAGGACCTGCCAGAAGTGCTTCAGGATGGCCCTACAGCAAAGCATCCTCGAGAGGACACTGGGGTTCCTATAGTGCTCTCTGACCTTGGCTAACCACGCAGCTTCTTGAATACTAGTTAAGCATACCAATACATTTTTTTTGAGTGGCAGAGACTGTAATAGGTAGCATCCTCCTGTTGTGTGAGCAGGCTTTTCGGTTTATACTATCTGTGCCCACATAGTCTTCCCTAAAGGGCTGCTGTCTGCATCCGAGGATGGGATGAATTATTTTGGTGACAGCAGCCGATGCCTAGGCATATCCCCTGTGCTGCAGGACCCCATTAGGAGAGGGTGCTGGAAGGAGTTGTCCTTACTGGCCATCGAGGGTTTGTCAGGCAGCAGATTTGGCACACTTGGTTTGTTTACAGTGTTAATTTATTCAAATAAAGCTTTTCACAATTTCTTAAAATAATATTTGTGATCAAATTTGCCTGGTGATAACTGTGGCATCCCACAGTGAGAAGGTTGGGTGACACAATGTTTGAAAAAAACCACCTTTCTGTGTAGTCTGGTCTAGAGTATTTGAAACTACTCATTGCTTTGGCAGTCCATAGGTAACCACACCAGGAACCTTCTCCTGCTTGGGCTCTTTATACAGCAGTACATTTAGAAGCTGCTATATCCAAACCTGCTTTTTGTAATCTGGTGGCTGGCATTTCTGGTGAGCATTCACTTCTACCAATAGCTTCTATAAAACGGAGCCAGACTCTTCAAGGGGGTACGCAGTGCTAGACTGAGAGGCGATGAACACAAATTGCAAGATGGGAAATTCTGATTAGAATGAGGGGG